GTAGACAATTGAACATGAATTTATCATGTGAGCTTTAAATTGATCCATTTCGCATTTTCATAAGGCAACAAAGTGTCCCTTTCGTTCTTCTTTCTCCTATCTCAGTGTAATTGGTTCTATGGATTTGATTCTGCAACAGCTCGAGTCCTCCGGCTTTATATTCCAGCTTGGTTTTATGGTCTCAAGGAAAACAGGTTCTTCGGTTTTGAGAGATGTAACTAAAAGCCGTTTGCAGCGAGTCAGACTTGGCATTAGCTGTTTTATTGATACCATTGCCTTGTGTTATAAGGAACAGTGAAGGCTTGGTTTCATGCTTGAAATGACTCTTTCTTTTCCAAGTGTAAATTTGTTTTAATTGATATTTCAAATAGAGTAAATTATAATGCATCTCCATTTCATATTTAACTGAAAGGCGAACCCTTGGAAACAAAAAGAAAATATATACATATCCTTTGAGAATTTAACAAGAAAACTTAAAAATCTATTTATGAACCCCAAAAGAATGGTTTATGCATAGGTTTTGCTTTTCAAGGCTTCTCTCCTCTACATCTCTTGAAGAAAGAGATCGAATCTCTGCTGGTTATAACAGACTTAAATCTGATCTTACTTGTTATTGATCTGATCGATGGAGCTAGAGATTGATTTTTTCTTTTGTTGTTGTAATAATTTGTTCCTTTAGGCTCAAGACAAAGATGGTGGGAAGTTGGGAGACATACTTGAACTTTTGGCAGATTATAAGCTCGAAATCGATATTCCAGGAGAACTTATTGTCAAGCTCGTGGGTCAGCGACTATATCAAGTCCAATCATCAAGGGTGGATCGTAGAAATGGGAGATCTAATTAAAGTTTAAGGACAGTAAGAACCGAGGAACAATGGAGATGGATCGTGATCGTGATGAGACCTTAGGCTCTATCTTCTTTTTCTCTAGCTAGTTTTTGCTTTAGTTTCTTCTACTCTCTTTGTTGCTTTACATTACGTGAGTTACAAGTTTTATTTTATTTTAGAGGTTTTTGCTTTTTTATTTTAGTTAGAAAATGTCTTCATAAGAATATCATTACTCGAAATTTTAACATATTATAGTGAATAATATTTTCTGTTCTAAGT